TCAGCTTTAAAGTGCCAGATAAGCAAAGGCACAAAGGGGAAGGATAGGGGAAAAGAAAGATGGGAATGGAATTAGCATGGGAAAAAGAAAAAACAGGAAATAAAGTCTTTGTAGATGGCGGGGTGGGGGGGGTGGGAAGTGGAGAGGTTGAAGGGAGGGCAGGGGAAGGGGGAAAAAGTAAGAACCAAGATGGATCATGTAAAGGTGCAAATTTCCAATGATGAATGTCATTACATTGTATACCTTTAATGTACTAATTAGATAGATATGATAATAGCAAAACAGGAGGATTAAGACAGGTTTTTTTTTTAAAGTTAAAAAGTCTTGAGTATACATTACAGGACACTAGAAAAAGTTGGGAAATGGCTCAAAAGCACTTGTAAGAATTAACTCAGAATAGGCAAATCAATGTTTTTTTCTCTTGTATTATAAGGAAGATAATTTTTAAGAAGGACTCATTTAAAAGTATACTAAAACTCTTGCAAAGACATCAGTAAGATGATATATCTGTCTAGCATCTTATCTTCCAGTCATATGATTTAAGAATCTTTCTTATAGAAAAACCATTCTACTTTTTAGGAAGAGCTGATCTAGTCACTACTAGGATGGACTCAAAACCTGCACTGTGCCATCAGCATACCCTAGACTCCTGGCCTTAGAAATAGACTCCTGGATGAAACCAATTCCAAGGCCAACTGGAGTCCTCCAGAGATAGAGAGAGGAGAAAGAAGAGAGAGAGAGAAAGAGAGAGCTAAAACTTTATTTATTTTTGCAGTACTAGGGAATCAAACCCTGAGGCATTCTCCCACTGAGCTACATCCCCAGCCCTTTTTACTTATTTTGAGACAGGGTTCTCACCAAATTGCCTATAATGGCCTCCAACTTGTAATCCTGCTGCCCCCACCTCCCAAGTAGCTGAGATTTCAGGCATGCACCATTGTGTCCAGCTATTTTGTTTTACTTTTTAAATGTAGGAGTGAAAGTGAAAGATGGTCTTTTTTAAATGAAGCTGCCAGCCTACAGCCATGTTGTCCACCTTATGGTCTACCAAAGTAATCAGGTCAAGAAAACTCAACATGAGCAAATATTCAAACACAGATCTCTGATGACAGAATATGAACTCTGGATTCCACCACACCAAAATCATCTCAGTCCTAGATTATCCTGTTACAAGTCAATAAATATCCTTTTGTAATTTAATCTACTTTTAGGATTCTGTTACATGTGAGAGGAAGAATCTTGAATAATAATTACACAAATACCTTTATTTGTATATATAAATTTTAAAATTTGGGGGCCGGGGATTTAGCTCAGCAGTTCGGTGGCCTGCCTTACAAGCGCAAGGACCCGAATTCAATCCCCAGTACCAAAAAAAAAAAAAAAAAAAAAGAAAAATTGGAAATTTCCATCTTGACATTTAGGACTCTGAGGAATCTTATTTTTAGAAAAACTCATTGCTTACATCTATTTTAAAAAATGTATTTGACATTTCATTATAGATCAATATTGGAATTCTAATAGTAGACATTTGAGTTATTTCAATGTTTTGACTATTACAAACACTGATCCTAGAACAATTCTAGTCAATGTATTGTGGTGTAAACATGCAAGATATTTCACAAAAGTATTCCAGTATATCCAGGAGTGGAATTGCTAGGTATGGATCTTTTTCAGAAAAAGCCAAATTGGTTTCCAAAGGAGTTGTATCTAGTGATAGTTCTTTTTCAATTCAATAGTTATAAATATTTTCCATTATTCAAACAATCCTTTCTAAAGAAGTTGGAAAGTTTCGATACATGCCAAAATCAGTACGTATATAGTAATTTCATCTTAAAAATAAGCATGATTTTCTGAATGTCGAAAACTAGTATTTGTTTACTTTAAAAAGAAAAATTAAAACTATTTGACAATAAATACAATCAAAAAATACACTGGGTAAAATTTTTATATCATTTTTACAATAAATAACATATATAATGATTTACTATTCCTCCAGGTAAGCAAAAACAAATGTTGAAATGATGACATTAAAGATTATTACACATTTAATATCAAAAGCAGTTGAAAATTATAGTAGTTGTAAGTAACCTATGCTATGTTCCGTGCTGTTCTCCAATTATGTGATAAATTTTCTCAAAATTTCATAAATAGATACAACATCATCTATGATGATAAACATTCAATTCTTTCAGTGCTTAAATACCACATGTTACAAAGCTATTTTCAAGCATCTGGAGATTTCCAAGCATAAGGAGAAGCTAATTACTTTTTTATAATTGCTGAACACACTTTCACTTTTGGTCTTTTTTTTTCCTCTTAAGCAATGGACATGAAACACAAATGACCAGGGTGAGGAAAGGACAGCATCCTAAAGAGAAGCAAGTTCTGACAATGATTAATGTGGGGCTCCCAAGGATGTCTGACAGGAAAAAGAAGCAACATATTGTGTAACGGACAAAAAAATTAGCAAGACCCTAATAATGTATCTCCTTGGAACAAAAGATACTGTATTTGAAAAATTATTTAAGATAGCCTGTATTCTTCTACCTGTTTAAACAATGGAAACAAAAATAAAGAGGAAAAACCTTTCAGCTAAGTTGTTGTTCAAATTGCCTGATGGATGAGTTGGTCAGTTAACGGAATGTGCTGATTAACAGGACTATCACAAAAAATGCCAAATAAAAATTAGACTGCGCTTTTCACTGATATTATATCAAATATCAGATATTAATTTTTCCATAAGTATTCTAAAGCCATTTCTACATTTCAAATTATTTTTATAAGCCATGGTAACAATGGAATAATTTTATTCTTGTAGAAAGAAAGAAGTGAAACTGATTTTTTTGTCTGTTTTGTGATACATTTGGGGAGCTGTTTTATTGTGTAAGTTCACAAAGGCTAAACTGTCATGTGACCCTTATTATGGTAGAGTGGATAATGCAGAAAAAAATCCCAAGTATTTGAGTTTTCTAGTTATTTGACTCATTATTTCTCTCCTTACAAGGTCTAGGTGTAGAATATGCTTACAAATAATTACAAACTCAAAATCAAACCTCAGAAATCCCAGAACAGAGTTCTCAGAGTTATTCTTACATAACTTTAATCAACTTGTTATAATGTGACAAATAGGAGTACAGGTCAAATATGGAAAACTGGTATATTCAAAGCTTATTTTGTTCAATGGAAAGCTGTACAACTTCTCATCAAAGTGATTATAAATGTTTCTTTTAGAAGACAGATGGCTGTGATCTTGACAATCATATTCATGTCACTACTTTCAGTATCCAGTTCTCCTGAGATCAGGACCTTACCTTTATATAATTAGGTGAGCTTAGTGGTGGAAAAAAAGGTCCCTAACAATTTGTAACTGTAAAGCATTTAATCATCACAAAGAGTCACAAGAAAATGGTATGTGGAAATATCAAAGAAGGAAGTATAATGGAGAGAAGAAAGAGACCATGCACACAGATAATGCCACAGGCAAAAAAAGCAACCTCAAAGTGACAAAGTGAGTAATCACAACAGAAACACTGTGTTTCACTATTATTTGAATCAAGTTATCAGCATTAGGACAATGGATCTACTATGCATGTTTTTCATTTTCAGAATGCCAAACCCAAAGGAATGCCTTAGTTTTAAATTCACTAGGCCTCTCTGCCACATTTGACACTATGCAGAAATCTGAATTTCTTCAAAGATTCTGCTTCCTCAACAGCCATTTAAATATTTGTTATTCTGGGGTAGACCTCTCAGTCTGTTTATTCTCCTACTCTCAGGATTTTAGCTTTGATTTCTCTGCCAGCATCAATCATCTTCCTCATTCAACTTATTTCTGGATGCTCTTCTCAGATGCCTCAAAATTTCCCAAATTAAAAGAACTCAAAGCAAAATTTATCACCACTCCTGAATGGCTTCCTCCACTCAATCTCAATAGTTCTAAATGAGTGTAACAAGAATTTTTCTGAAACGAATGTCTGACTACATCATCAGTTTGCTTTAAACTAATACATAATTCATTAGCTTTCGAAGAAAGCCCATATTTTTGACATGTTTACACAATCATCATAATTTGATATCCATCTATCTCATCATTTTTACCTCATACCACTTCCCTTAGTGAGCAGTGGTTCCACATTGTTCACTTTGTATACAGTGCCCTTTTGTCCATACATTTGCTCTTGTTCCTGTTGTCCAGAATTTTCCTCTTTCTCCCTCCCTCCCTCTCCCCCTCCCTCTCCCCCTCCCTCTCCCTTTTCTTCCCCATACCCCTCCCCCTCCCTCTTTCTCTCTCTTCTTGCCTTTCCAGCCTCAATTATTTATGTCTTGGTTATTCAGCCAACTCTTCCAGAGCTTTCTTTTCTGAAAGTTTTGGAAGAACTGGGTTGGGGAGAACTGCTCTCTATTTTCTTACTCTGTGTTTCATTTTGTTTTTTAGCATACTATAAGTTTTCTAGCAAGCATGTATTATTTTTGTCATCAGAAAAATCAATAACAACACAGAAAAGAGAATAAAAAAGTTTGTACCTACATTACTTGTACCCCATCCTGGACTGTAAGATGTTTCAGAAATGATTCATTTATTATAAATGATTCATCTTGTAATCCTACTTCGCCCATTACCTAGTGACTGATGCTCAATAAATGTCCTGTTAATGACTGCGAGGAAAGATAGTATATAAAAAAAAAACCACAGAAAACATAAAAGACTTTCTTAGCATAGCATAGCATAGTAGTACATAGTAGTCCAAGTTATCTGGGCAGTTACACTGACTTCTTTGTCCTAGTGTTCCACTTTAAAATAACATCAAACAAGCAATTTATTTGCTTCTAGCCAGCAAAATTAATTCTCTTGAAAAATTGCCCTGTTCTTGACATTAGATTTCTTTTATCATCCAAAGTAAATTTTTAAAAAGATATGCCATGTGAAATCTTTATCAGGTAAATGGAAAATCAGAAGGAAATTAAAAAACAAGTAAAAAATAAAATAAACTGTTATCACTGTGCTACTTATCATGTGGAAAATTACTTACATGCAACAGCAATACAGCAGCAAGAAAAGACTGTCCTTGACAGTACCCAATGTCTTCGTCATACACAGAGTATGCCTAGAGAAAAGATGAAGAAAAAGAAATACTGTAAATATTAGTAGCTTTTAACCTAAATATTAGCTAGCATCAGTTTATGGCTTATGCATGTCTCTGGGCTGTTCACTGCAATTGCACTGATTTTTTTTTTCTTTTGGTACTGGGAGTCATACTCAGGGCTCTTGCCAGGCAGGCACTGTACTGCTGAGCTACAACCCCGGCTCTCTGCTGATTTTTTAAAATTTGAATTTGGATAACAATGGAACAGCACGATCCCTCAAAGAGTCTGTGTGTTTCCTAAAGCAGCCCTAGATGTCCCATTGTCCAAGTTCATCCTTAAAACTTAAAAATAGAGATGTGCTCAGAGCTCGGAAATTAATTTTAAAAGCTTTAGGTCAGAGATTTAGCTCAGTGTTTCTGCCGCCTGCCTCACAAGCACAAGATCCCGAGTTCGATCCCTGTTACAAAAAAATAAAAAAAGGGCCCCAATATCATCTGAGGTCACGTATATGAGACCATGAGAAGCAAAAGGCCATAAGCAATGGGTGGGGAAGGGTACAGGGCTTCTAAAGTTGTTATAAAATTATAACACTTCCCTCTAAAAGGAAGTCTTAAAGCTTCTGAAAGTGTAGTGAAGCTCCACTCTTCTAAGAGACAAAAGCAAACCCACCACACTTCTGGAAGTTCTCAAAAACTTTAGAACTTCTTTATGGTGTAAGTAGGACAAATACAGAAACAAGTGTTAATCTTGATGCTATTCTCATTTTGCTCAATACGAACATAAGCCATCTACAATCTTCTCAACTACTCTCCATTTTCCGTAAGGCTGAAGAGGAAAAACTGGTCCTCTCATTTATAAATGCTGCAGCAAGACAGAACTAGTACTGCCTGGGCTTTTTACAGAATGGTTGAGAGTGCCGCCTACCCTTCATTCCACAGTGCTGACAGGCCAGCTGGAATTAGCCAGTCCCTGCCCATGCATAGGAAATATAGCACCCTTTGGGAAATAATAATCATCCATTCAGCTCTTTGTCTCCAGAGGAAAGGAAATAAAGGTGTATTCAGCATACACTAGTACCTCAATCATTGAATTTGTAATTTAAAGTAAGATATTAGTTATACTAGGTTTTAGGAGACTGAATCATTAGGTAGAGTGTGCTGACTATAGAGTAAAGAGTTAAAATATGAAAACAAAATTTAATAGAATTATATCCCAGTTTTGATTCTTTGTACTATTTCCCATGCAGCTGGGACTGTGTTCGTGAATTCTTCGCCTATTCCTATGTCTTCAAGAGTTCTACCTATTCTCTCCGCCAGGAGATTTAGTGTTTTTGTTTTAAAATTCAGTTCCTTGATCCACTTTGATTTTAGTTTACTGCATGGTGAAAGATATGGGTCTAGTTTTAGTGTTCAACAGGCAGAAAGCCAGTTTTTCTAGCACCACTTATTAAAGAGGCTATCTATCTTCCAGTGAACATGTTTGGCCTCTTTCATCAAAAATAAGGTGGCTGAGTGTGTTTGGGGTTGTTTCCTCCTCTCCTAGTATGTTCACTGATTGGGATTGCATTAAATCTGTGCAACAATTTTAGGAGTAAGGCCATTCTCACTATGTCGGTTCTTCCTACCCAAGAGGAAGGGTAGGAATGCTGAAAGCAGCATTCTTCCTGGAGTGAAGTGGAATATCAGTGTTGTTTTCATCTGCACAAGAGATGCAAATTAGAACAATGCCAAGATTCCATCTCAATGCAGAAAGAATGGCTAATATCAAGAAATCAACCAACAACAAATGCTGGCAAGACTGAGGGGGAAAAAAGAACCCCGCTCCACTGTTGGTGGGAGTGAAGACTGGGGCAACCACTGTGGGAATCAGTGTGGAGATTCCTCAACGAATTAGAACGAGAGGTTCCATTTGACCCAAACATTCCCCTTCTGGGTATCTTCCAAAAAGAATTAAAAGCATCATACCAGAATGATGTATGTGCACCCATGTTCATAGCAACACATTTTGTAATAGCTAAATCTTGGAAACAACCCAAATGCCCATCAACTGATGAATGGATTTTAAAAAATTTTTTTAATACAATGGAGTACTACTCTGTCATAAAATAGGATAAAATCGAGACATTTCTAGATAAATGGATGTACCTTGAGACCCTTAAGTGAAATAAATCAGACAAACATGTAAATATTGCATTGTTTCTCTGATGTGAGAAACTGAAAAGTTAATAAGGACTAAAATGTCGAATCGATAATGTGAAATAGGAAGAATTTGTGCAAAAGGAAAGGGAAACTGGGAAGGGGGGGAAGAAGGGAAAAGAAAAGGTGAGAAAAGAAGGAAAAATGGAAACAAAGCTTTTGCAAATAAGGAGGGTGTTGAATGGAGGGTGGAAGGAGATTGGGAGAAAAAGAGGAATCAAGATATACCATTTACAGGTACAAATTCCCTTTGATGAATGTGATTTTTATGTATATTTAAATTATACTAATAAAGTTAATTTTAAAAATATAGTACTGGAGTAGAAAAAAATTTCGGGTGCAGCCACATCTATTCTTTTTTTTTTTT